TCTCCTATTCCCCATCAACTCACATATTCATAATTAATACTTGTTTATTAAATTAGCGATTCCAAAAATATCCCCATGTTACAAAGAAACTTCAAACAGCAGCAAGTTAAAGGAAAGTCACAACCCTGCCTCCTGCTTGGTTCCTGGGAACATAAAACCTTTGTGAAATAAAGCAAGGCACAAAAGAGAGGTGCAAAGTAATTAATTCACAAACCTTAGGATGCCTTGTCAACTCTAAATAAATATATACGGCTGTTCACACCAAGTCCTAGTTTTGGAAGGACCTGGCATTGCTATAGTAGATGAATTGGTGGTATCCTCAGAAGCAAACCACATTTAATCTAAGAGATTAAAATGACAAATGAGAGCTTGCTTGTTGCACTGGGTACATTTATAACCTCTGAAGTATCAAAAAATCTTGTAATTCTTCAAGCATTAGATGAAGTCGAACGCAATACAGTCCACAATCAAGTTCAACACAGATTTGAGAATTCATATCTACCTATTTGTACACTCACCTCTTCTTGATTTACACGGATATTTTATTCATGGCTGAGCAAACAAACAGCTGTATTTCTCTGGTTTGACATGGGTATCCAGTAAGAGATCAGACAAGGGCTCCAGTGCTTGGTAATTTGGCCACTAGTTGATCTGGAGGAATCTTCCTCCCTCACCCTTCCAAACTGAATTCTTATAAGGAACACTTGCTTTTGCAATGCGTCCACTAAGCAGAACTTCCATTTAAAAAAGCAAAGCCATACACACCTACAGTTCTTTTTTCAGATACTGGTTCATCTGTTTTCCAAGGTTATTTTGTAAGTGATATCAATCTCTCAGATTTCATCCCTAAAAGGGAGGGGGAAAAGGCAACCAAGTTACTGCTTTGTATAGATTCAGCATCTTCCTTCAGTTCAATGCAAGTATCAATATGAATACAATATTTATTACATGAAGGAACAGGCTGTGAAAGCTAGCAAGCTCCATTAATCTTTATGTAACATAGCAGTGTGCATCTCCTATTACTGTGTGCAAGCATGTTAAGTCCCTTCCTTCTGCTTTTTGCAGGCAGCATCAGCTAGGAGTCTAAGGAATCTTTCTCCAGTAGTGTCAAGGGACTCTGGAGGAGTAAACTTGTCCCACAACGTCTTGCCAGCAAGATAGGTAAGCAAGAGAAAAATCATTACAGAGGGAACAAAGTTTTTACCGAGGCCACTGCTTCTCCTTATCTGTCAGAGGAACATAGATCACACCCATCAGTTTTGTTTCCACAATTTGCCCATCATTAGTTTTGTCATACTGCATTAGAACCTGGCTTCCACCTTCAGGACCCACTGGCAAGATCAACCGACCTCCTGGCTTCAATTCATTCAGCAACTGGCAAAGAGAAGAATTAATATTAGTAAGGGCCAGAATCAGATGAATAAAGAAAAGACAAAAGCTGGTTGAGCTACATGATTATTTTCTGCGGAAATATAGGATTGCTGACTTCAGGAAAAACAGAATGGAAGTGACAATTAAGTGTTTTTCTTCTAGCTATTTGAATTCCATTACAACCACTGATTTGAAACAGTATCTGTTCATTTTTACCTCCTTTGGTACAGTGGGTGCTGCTGCTCCAACATGGATGGCATCATAAGGGGCTTCTTCAGGGTATCCCTTTCTACCATCTCCGACTGCAGAGAGAAAAAATGGTGAGTGAAGATGCTTGTTCAGAGGGCAACTCGACATAAAGAGAAACCCAATCTTTTCTTGCGTGTGACACCTAGATGAGAAAAGCTTTTGTGGACAAGTTATGTTCAAGAACTTCAGACTGCCAACAGAAAATTGAATTGTACCACAAATCTCTTAGAAAGGGAGGCTACTATTTGAAGTTACTTTTTAAAAAAAAAGAGAAAGGGAAGAGATCCTGTAAACTGGCATTACTTGTACTGTATAGAAAGAAAAAATCAGAATTGGGAGGGGTCCTGGGTGACACAGGTTAGTGTATACAGTTGGGTCACAACAAAAATAGAGTTTTGTAGTTTATGCTGGAGATCTGCTCAGAGAAACAAACCAAGTTATTCAGTATGATTATCTGGTCTTTACTGAAGAGGCTCAGGACTGAAAGAAAAGTGTTATTACACTCTTATAAGGAGTAGTGAAAAAAATTTCAGAAATGGATAGATTGAATGGCACTTGCCTGCTTCATATGGTTCTAATCAATGCTATTCATCATCTAGCTTTAATTCATACTTAGCACAGAGAAACCAAGTTCCTTGGCAGAAAAATAAAGACAGTAATTTACACCCAGCAACAATGGCCCATAGCAGCACTCAGATATCATTGTGACAGGTGCATGCATCAGTATAACTACTAAATCACATTAGCCACTTAGAAAAACAGATCTCAATAAGCAGCAAGTGCCAAGTGCTGCCAGTTTAGAGTATGTTCATGTAAGGGAATGAAATACTGAGGTCACAGGCTACACAGCTCACCTACAAGTTTCATACGGCCAGAGGTGAGCAGGGTTGCATCATCTTCTTCAACATTTCTTCTGGATTCATGGATCAGCTTTTCAATGTGCTCTATGCCCACTGCCTTCCCTGTGGGACCCACCTGGAAAGGCAAACATGGATATGCTAGCTCATGCATAGGTTGACTGTATTTTACAGAGTGCCTTACCATTCCAGTAGAGAGATGATAGAGAATTAAAGAAATTGTTTCTTATAAACCTTTGAATAAGAGGTTGTATTTAGTTGTAAATGTTGTACTTAGAGTGATGGGAAGACCTAGTTATGTTAGTTACTAGCAAAAGCACTATCCTCCATGGAAATCCCTAGTAAGTCTTCCTTAGGAAAGCTTTATCTACCATAGTAAGGCTGTAAAAAATAAATAGTAGGCTTCCTTGGCAGGATGTGTTTGTAATGAGGTACCCAGCTCTGTGGCAGGGATGTACCTTGTCTGGGCTTCTAGAGCTCTGAGAAATTATTTTTCCTCCAATTTAGGAAGCAATTAAGAAGTGTCAGAATGGTATGCACAGAAGTAGATTAATTCACCCCCTTCAGTTTTTTTGGGTTGATTTGGCCACTATGATGATGCTACTCTTGCCAGATACAGCACTAGTTTAGCCTCCAGAACTGGCTGAAACAATCATATTTATCTCATCTTAAACTGTTCTGAGGAAGAAAAAACCCCACAATGGACTTGTCCTTTTTAGGAAGCAGGTTGCGTCTTCCCATATCTGTCACTAGTAAGGAAGCAGGGGCTGTAGCCGTGTTGGTCTAAGGACATAGGCAGACAAGGT